GCGAGACCGATGGAGACAAACATTGAACCAGACTCTGCCGACCCCGATGATGGTCTGACAGTGGATGCCATTGTTACGTTATCCGAAGAAGCTTTGGTACTATATGTTAAGGCTTTGTCTTTGCTTGCAAAATCAATGGATATCGCCGGGGCTTGGTGGTCGCGCAAGAACCGTGAAGAGGTCTATGGAGAGTCTCCTAGCAAAGACAGCATGAGCGCAGCTGCCGGTACTAGGATCAACTACGTGGTGCAATGGGTGCGCAGTCGGTTCAACGAGGTCATCGAAAAAGCCGAATTTGTGCGCCTCAAACTCATCGAGGGGCAACGGCGATTGCCACCCGATCACCCTAGCCATCCGGATAACCATTCAATTGGCTCCACGGCTGGCTCAAGCTCAACCGCCGATGTAGTGGTGAGCCCTGGCGTGACAGCAGAGAGGCTCATGTATGACCGAGCACTCGAGATGAGCCGGGCGGCCGCTATCAATGAATTGACTGGCGAAGATCTTGCCAACTGCGAAATTACATATGTCACCGCGATTCGCATGCTCGAAGCTGTGCTTGAGGATGACGGAACGCGGTCCATGCCAGGTAGCAATATCGAACGGCAAAGCGGTTCGCAACCTAATGACAAGGTTGTTTTGGACGAGCTGCAGGTCGAGGATCGGCAGGTCGTTATGAAACGTGAGTTTTCTCTAAATCCACCCCCGAAGCTTATCCCAAACTCACACCTTGATCCAGTTGTATCCAGTATGCGTGGCCGTCTCGCATCTGTCCGGAAGAAGGTAGCTATTCTATCCAGGCGAGCCTCGGTGCCGACTCCGGTGGGTAGTGCAGGCAAGACACCTACCTCTACCGTTTCTCCTGTTGCATATCCTACGGGGGTGACACCGCCTAGATGATCACCTTGGTCTTCCCCCAATTTCCGCCCAATTGATTGGGATTCTTACGATATTGTTCAATCCAGTAGCGTCATGATTATAGCCATTCATGTGTACGGCTTGACTCGCGACGTGAACCATTGAGTTTTCCCCCTGTCCTTTTTTATATAAGGTACCTGTTGGTTAGCTTTCCGGGTCCAGGGTCATGTTCCTCTTCCCTTTTCTCATTTCTCAGCCCCTTATTTCTCTCCGGAGATCTCATTTCTTCGTTCATATTCGTCAATTTCTCTTTCCAGCTCCAGTTTTGCCATATATCCTACAGCACGAGACCAGGGGAGTTATGTTCTTGTTATGCCATGTCTTGCTATTTTTTTTTAACTTTTCGTTACTGGCGTTTGACCGGGGAACCCACGGTATACAGATTGGCACTGAGTTTTTTGGGCTGGGGATACGGTCACGGCGTTGTCCGGGATATGCAGATATTGCCAGATGTATTGTACATAGAGAAAGAAGTTATATATCGCCATGGACTAGTGGAGCGTACCTGGTGGAGTAGGGTAACATGCTAAGCTTGGCATCAAACGCAAAGAACCCTACAGATGGCGTGCTTGACTTATGTGTCATAGTTTTGCCCTTTATTTAACTCGCCTCTTGGCTTTGCCGCATGCCCAGGGATATTCTCTATGAACTGACTCCGTACATACTTTCCCATGGAGGATATAGACCATTGACCTACAGCTTCGGACGGACTCCAACCGACTCCAACTTGGTTTTTTTTTTTTCTCGATCAATTGACATGGATTTACAGGGACCACATTTACTCCGTACAATATACAACGTTTTAGCACGGCCCGGCCCTGAATGGATTCTCGGCAGCCCACTGAACCCCGGCATCCCCGATGTCCGAGGCTTTTCTTTCCTTTTTTTTTTTTTTATATTGCGCCATGATGGTGAATACAGACGCCATGAATCATGTGTTGTTTCTTGTTTTCCAAGGCAAATGTGAGGGTTCTAATTGGACCAACTTCATATGTAACGGTAGAAATGATATTCGGCCTGCCCAGGCAATGGTGCGCGATGGTGCAATTCCCCGGCTTCCCTAAAGCTTCTGGAATTACTTCAAACGAGTGGGCCGCAGTCTAGGGAGAAAAAAAAAGCCACAAATTCAGCTAGGACCTTTGCCTCGATCTGGTGATGCCTCGCTTGCAACTTGTGATTTTGATTTCCAAGGTAATATAAGACTATAAGACTCTGCCCAGCCGCAGTGACCTATGGCATCACATTTAGTGCTAGCACCTCATTTCTACGCCGTTGCTAGCCGTGCTGAATTTGCCTTCGGGACGCTCAGCTGGATATAAATACTCGTCGATCAGGTCCACCGTGTGGAGAGTGGCTCGATCTGTATAACCAACATAATGACTGACCCGGTTGATCCTCTTGTCGAGGCTTCTCACAAGTCACCCGCACTTGATACAAAGTCAGCGGGAGATGATGGCCTCCGGCGAGCCGATGGTATCTCTGGATTGTGTATGTTTTGTCTTGATGAGGATTGAATGATGGCCGAGTGACTCTTCTAATTCACCTTCAGATGAAGGAAATATTTTCGAAACGACGCCCGACAGCCGTCGTCAGATTGGCATTTTCAGCGCTGCCCTCCTCATCTTTAACCGGGTTATTGGCACGGGTATCTTTGCCACACCGAGTACCATCCTTGCATTGACCGGGAGTGTCGGTCTCTCATTGTTCATGTGGGTTATCGGCACTATAATTGCTCTGGCTGGGACGGCAGTGTACCTCGAATGGGGTACTGCGATTCCACGGTATGTTATTGAGAACGAAAGGATCAAAGGGAACACATGACTGATTGGCCTGGCTGGGTATAGAAACGGAGGCGAGAAGAACTACCTCGAGTATGTTTATAAAAAGCCCAAGTTCCTGGCCACTGCCATGTTTGCCGCCTATGCCGTGTTACTCGGATGGGCAGCAAGTAATAGCGTTGTCTTCGGCCAATATATCCTCAACGCAGCTGATGTGGAGGTCGGACGATGGAACCAGCGTGGAATTGGCATGGCCTGTCTCACTGCCGCCTTTCTTATCCACTCCGTTGCCTTGAAATGGGGTATCCGCCTTCAGAATGCACTTGGTGTTATCAAGTTGATCATCGTCTTGTTCATCATTGTTTCTGGTTGGGTGGCACTTGGTGGCCATACAAAGGCCGAGACGCCGCATAACTTCACCAATGCCTTTGAAGGCACTCAGGGAAGCGGATATGGAATTGTCATGGCCTTGTACAATGTCATCTGGTCCTTCATTGGCTACTCTAATGCCAACTATGTAAGGACATGAAAATATGACTTCTGATTTGGATCATATTGCTAATTACATTTACAGGCCTTGAGCGAGACAAAGAACCCTGCCCGCACATTGAAGATTGCAGCCCCCATTGCTATCATATCGGTTGGCATTTTGTATATGTTTGTCAACATTGCCTATTTCGCCGCTGTATCGAAGCAAGAAATGCTCGAGTCTGGCAGCATCGTGGCCGCCGTGTTCTTCAGAAACATGTTCGGCAAACAGGCTGAAAAAGTCATGTCGGTCTTTGTGGCTCTCTCTGCATTCGGCAATGTGCTGTCCGTCATCTTCTCACAAGGGCGAAGTATGTATTATCGATTGCACGTTTGAACAGTATACTAATATGAGCTCGATATAGTTGTCCAAGAGCTCGGCCGTGAAGGTGTCTTGCCCTTTTCTAAGATCTGGGCCAGTAACTGGCCTTTCCACTCCCCAGCCGCTGGCTTGCTTGAGCACTATATCGTCTCGGTCGTTATCATGCTCGCACCGCCTCCCGGTGACGCATACAATTTCCTCCTCAAGTATGTAGTTCCTGAAGGCACAATAAATATCATTACTGACCAATTCTTGCAGCCTAATCTCTTACCCCCTCTCAATTGTCAACTTCTTCGTTGCCGCGGGCCTCGTTCATATCTACCTCACCAAAGAGAAAAATTACCCGAACTGGGCGCCCAGAATCCGTGCTACCCTACCCGTCACCATCTTCTTCATGTTGTCCAATCTGTACCTCGCCATTGCACCATATGTGCCGCCCAGCGGTGGCCAGAATGTGTACGAAGAGCTACCATACTACCTTCACTGTGTGGTAGCCCTGGGGCTTTTCGCAGCCGGAGCAATCTACTATGTTGTTTGGGCGGTGTTGATGCCTCGGATTGGTGGGTATGTTCTCGTCAAGGAGTCCGTAGTGGATTCCGATGGGTGGTCACGGAGTGTTTTTACGCGACTGCCACAGGCTCAAGCAGTACACTCTTAGTGATACTGGATGTTGAAATAAAATGGGATTGCTTTGGTTTTTAAGTTCTTATGTCGGAGATAGATTTTGTCATGGTGACTGGGACTTTCTTCCCACCAGATACTACTAGTAATAGGTAATAGCGGAATAGAAGCATTTGTCATTATTGAAACCTCATTACCAACTGTCCTGTCATACTGTGACATCAGAGCAATGAACCGCGGTGCTGTATGTTCCAGTCTTCTATGGTAGCCCACCCAAGAGAATCGATTGAAACTGTCATGAGCCCCTCAAACTTGCTGGTGTATTGTCTTGCAAGATAACAGCATGAAAGCCATTCCAATCAGTTGTCTGTCATGTAGAATTTAGACATCCACTGGGTGAACTTGCGTGTTGAAGAAAAGAAAAGAAGAAGAAGAAAAAAAAAGGACGAAAAGTAGGAGAGCCACTGCTGTTCACCGCCTTCGCATTTGCCGGACTCTGATCTCATGTTTTTCTGTTTTGACCGTTGGTATCAAGTCTGTGGTTCAATTGTTCTCACATTTGGTTCTATTTAATTATTTAATACTAATACCCCTTCATTTTCCTCTTTCTTTTTTTCTTTCTTCTTTCTCCCGGTATTCGGGTTCGTGGAGCTGATGCGCCGCTTCTCCACGCGTGTGCTTCTGCAGCAAGCAAAGCCACCGCTTCTTTCCGCCAGATCCCCCTCCCCCTCTTTGTTTCCGCTCGCTCTCAAGCTTCAGTCCCTAGATCAGTTCAACGTCGCTCTCGTTCTCCGCTATCACAGACCTCTAAACGATACTGCTCCTACCGCAGAATGTGCAGCTCCCGCCGTGAGACCGCCGGGTCAACAGTTGTCCAGGGCCGTGAAGTCCTACCTACAAATGTCAAACCCCAGCATTATGATTTGACTCTCGAACCCAACTTTGAGAAGTTCACATATGAGGGAACAGTTGTCATCGAGTATGTCATTTGTGTGTAGCTCCATATCACAGTCATTGACATCTACTTCTAGCCTCGATGTGAACGAAGACACCGATTTCGTCACCCTCAATTCCAACGAAATCGAAATTCACAGCGCAATTATCTCGGCGAAAGGCTCGGTGGTAGACTCCAAGCCCGAAATTTCTTTCAAGAAGGATGATCAGACCGCAACTATCAAATTCGGTCAGGCTATCTCTGCGGGGTCAGATGCTCAGTTGAAGCTCACCTTCACTGGCATTCTCAATGATAACATGGCCGGATTCTACCGATCTTCATACAAGGAGAATGGCGAGACTAAGTACATTGCATCATCTCAGATGGAGCCCACGGATGCCCGTCGGGCTTTCCCTTGTTTTGACGAGCCTGCTCTCAAGGCCAAGTTCACTGTGACTTTGGTCGCAGATAAGAGCATGACTTGCTTGAGCAATATGGATGTTGACACTGAGACTGAGGTCCAGGGTGGTGCGAAGAAGGCTGTGAAATTCACCACTTCGCCCCTCATGTCCACCTATCTCGTTGCTTTCATTGTTGGAAACCTCAACTACATCGAGACAAAGAACTTCCGGGTCCCCATTCGCGTATACGCCACCCCCGATCAGGATATCGAGCACGGTCGTTTCTCATTGGAGCTTGCTGCCAAGACTCTAGCCTTCTACGAGAAGGCCTTTGATAGTGATTTCCCGCTGCCAAAGATGGACATGGTCGCCGTGCCTGATTTCAGCGCGGGAGCCATGGAGAACTGGGGTCTGATCACATACCGTATTGTCGATGTGCTATTGGATGAGAAGAACAGTGGCGCGTCTCGAAAGGAGCGTATTGCTGAGACCGTTCAGCACGAGCTGGCCCACCAGTGGTTCGGAAACTTGGTCACTATGGACTTCTGGGATGGACTCTGGCTCAATGAGGGCTTCGCAACCTGGATGTCGTGGTACTCTTGCAACGTCTTCTACCCAGAGTGGAAGGTTTGGCAGACTTACGTTATCGACAACCTGCAGAGCGCTCTTTCCCTTGACTCGCTGCGCAGTAGTCACCCCATTGAGGTGCCTGTCAAGCGTGCTGATGAGATCAACCAGATTTTCGATGCTATCTCCTACTCCAAGGGTTCATCTGTCCTGCGCATGATCTCCAAGTATCTGGGCGAAGACGTCTTCCTTCAGGGTGTCCGCAACTACATCAAGAAGCACGCCTACGGTAACACCGAAACCGGTGATCTGTGGGCTGCTCTTGGTGATGCTAGCGGAAAGCCTGTGCAGTCGGTCATGGATATTTGGACCAAGAACGTTGGCTTCCCTGTCCTCAGTGTCACGGAAAACAAGGAAAACTCCTCCATTCACGTAAAGCAGAACCGTTTCCTGCGCACCGGTGACGTTCGCCCCGAGGAAGATCAGACCCTCTTCCCTGTGATGCTCGGACTGCGCACTGAGAAGGGTGTCGATGAAGACACTATGCTGACGGAACGTGAGCGTGACTTCCCCATTCCTGACCTGGACTTCTTCAAGCTCAACGCCGACCACTCTGCTATTTTCCGCACGTCATACAGTCCCGAGCGCCTCAAGAAGCTCGGACAGGCTGCTCGTGAGGGTCGTCTGACCGTCGAGGACCGTGCCGGCATGATTGCCGACTCGGGTGCCCTCGCTGCTTCTGGTTTCCAGCGCACCTCTGGTATGCTTTCCTTGCTTCAGGGCCTTGACACTGAGTCAGAGTTTGTCGTGTGGAATGAGATCCTGACCCGTATCGGCACCCTGCGCGCTGCTTGGCTCTTCGAGGATGACAAGACAAAGGATGCCCTCAAGGCCTTCCAGCGCTCGCTGGTTGGTCCCAAGGCCCACGAGATCGGTTGGGAGTTCCCCGAGAACGACGACCACATTCTGCAACAGTTTAAGGCCCTCATGTTCGGCTCTGCCGGTATGGCCGAGGACCCGATTGTTGTCAAGGCCGCCTTGGACATGTTCGCCCGCTTCGCTGCTGGCGACCTCTCCGCTATTCACCCTAACATCCGCGGCAGCGTTTTCACCATTGCTCTGAAGCACGGCGGTGCCAAGGAGTATGAAGTGGTACTGGACCGGTTCCGCCACGCCCCAACTTCAGATGAGAAGACCACTGCTTTGCGTTGCCTCGGTGCCTCTGAGGATCCCAAGCTTATCTCCCGCACTCTTGGCCTTGCCATGAACGAGGAGGTCAAGAGTCAGGATATTTATATGCCTCTTGGTGGCCTCCGCAGCCACCCAGCTGGTATTGAGGGCCGCTGGGATTGGCTCAAGTCCAACTGGGATGACATCTACAAGCGTCTTCCTCCCGGTCTTGGCATGCTGGGCACTGTTGTCCAGCTGACCACTGCCAGTTTCTGCACTGAGGCACAGTTGAAGGACGTTGAGGACTTCTTCGCCTCTAAGGATACTAAGGTTTGTGACTTTACCAAGCCCTCCCCGAATTTTACTCTGAAAATTCATCTTTTTGTAAAATTTACTAACTCGGATCTTTCTTTGCAGGGCTTCGACCGTGCTGTTGAGCAGAGCCTCGACTCCATCCGTGCCAAGATCAACTGGCTCAAGCGTGACCGCGACGATGTTGAGCAGTGGCTGAGCAGCAACAGCTATCTCCAGAGCAAGCTGTAAATTGTATTTCAAAAAAATGAATGAGCAATGTTCATAGACCTCTTGGAACACCAGGATTCTTTGTCTTTCAGGGCTCGCAGCAGACTTTCCTTCGACTGCACATTATTTTTACCTTGTGATCTACGCAAAGCACGCGGGATGTGCTTCTTGAAGCCAAAATCATACTCTACTCAATCATCCAATCTCTTATAGAGTGCTCGTTTGGACCAGGACTAGCTAGATATATAGATATCCGTCCTAAGTACAATAACCAACTACATTGATGAGCAATAGACAAGTAGATGTTGAGACGAATGGCATAAGATCCTCCTGGGGTCATAAACGGTGTATTTGATTTCCAGCAAAACACCTCATGTGGCCAACCTGGCTGCCAAACATGCATTGAAAACACCATATTAAAAAAAGGGTGGTATCAATGAAAGATAATACAGAAAGAAAAAATGCATGACAGATAAAGACAGAGAGGTCTATGCCCATCCACCCTTGCCTCCGAACCCAGAACTGTCCTCGATCTTCTTGCCACCAGCACCGCGTGTGGGCTTGGACTGCGCCGCTTCGTGCTTGCGCAGTTCCTCGGGGACACGCGAGATGGGCGATTTGATCAGCATTTGTTTGAGATCGTACCTGGAGAAAAATTAGTAAGTTGAGACGGCGACAAAGTGTCAAGGGGAGAGGAACGGGTGTAACATACATAACATCGCTATCCTCGCTACCCAGGAAGGTAATAGCAACACCACTCTTTCCAGCACGGCCAGTACGACCGATACGATGAGTGTAGCTTTCGATCGAGGTCGCCATATTGAAGTTGACGACCAGTGACACATCTGGCACATCGATACCTCTTCCTGCGAGGTCAGTTGCGACGAGAACGTCTGTTGAGCCGTTGCGCACGGAGGCGAGCGCGGCTTCACGCTGGTCTTGGGTTTTGGATCCGTGTAGAGTGACCGAGGAGAAGCCCATCTGTTTGATCTCGCGCGCGATAGCGTCACAGTTTCGCTTGATGTTGACGAATACGATAATCGGGGGACGGAACTCGCCCGATTGTAGGATTTCGGCGAGGCGCTTCTTGCGTTTGTCTTCGCCAGAGATCATCTCCACACGCTGCTCCACTGTGTCGACGGCTTCACCGACGCCACCGATGGTGATGATGGCTGGTCGGCGGAGATACTTGCGAGCAATACGCTCGACTGCTGCAGGCATAGTGGCTGTGTACATCATCGTCTGGCGGTACTTGTATTGGCTCATCGCGCTTGAATCTTCAGCTTCTTCTGTATCGGGCTTTTGATTGGAGACGGGAAGGGCATCCAGGATCTTGTTGACAGGCTCTTCAAAGCCGAGATCGATCATACGATCTGCTTCGTCCATGATAACGTAGCAGCACTGGCTGAGAACCAGCATTCGACGCTCGATACAGTCGACTAGACGACCAGGTGTGGCAATAATAATTTCGGCGCCTTCGCGCAGGCTGTAGGCTTGCTCTTCGAGCGAGTGGCCACCGACAATACTGACCACATTGAATCCGAGAGGCTGTGTAAACTTTCTGGCTTCGATCTCGATCTGCTGCGCCAATTCACGTGTGGGTGCTAGGACAATAGCGTATGGACCGTCGTTTTTGAGAGACGGATTCTCGTCAAGCCGCGGTAGCGTCGAGATGTAGACCCAAAAGAGGTAGTAGGAACGCGGCCGTTTTACCGGAACCTGTCACGGCGACACCGATCAGGTCACGCGACTGCATAGCGATGGGAATTGCCGCGCGCTGGATAGCGGTTGGGTCCTTATATCCGACACGGTCAACAAGCTCCAATAAGCGCTTCGGCAATTGACTCTCTTCCCATGAGCGCATGGGGTTGGGCACGCTGCCACCTTTGGTGGCAATGTTGAAATCTTCCTTGAAGATACGCCAGTCTCGCTCGCGCATGAGATCTAAGCGCTTCTCACTCCAATGCTTGTCAATCTGTGTGCGGGTACTGTCCTCGCGTCGCCGGCGTTCCATCTCCAATATTTCTTTGGCTCGTGCGCTACCGGCTTCCTGGTCGCGGGTCACCAATGCCTCTGCGTATTTGCGCGCGACGTCATCGGCGACATCGTCGCCAAAGCCGGCCAAACGGCCCCGGCCAAAGAAGTGGGCCTCATGTCGGTGCTGGTATAAAGGATTGTAGTCGCCGCTTGTATCCTCCTCGGTATTCCACTCGAAATTAAACTTGCGGTCTGCGGTACGCTTGCGCTTCTTCTTTGCCGAGAAGTTCGACGTCTGGTCGGCTCCCATATATCGATGCTTGGTCAATTTAGCCAGCGCTTCTGCTTCGTCTTCTTCGGTAAGACGCTTTTCGCCTTTAGTCTTAGATGGGGGTGGCATATCCTGGTCGCGAAGGTGCTGATTGTGTTGTCGGCCTCCCTTCCGCATACCGCCAGGTCCGGTTGGGGGTCCGTCGCGCATCGATCGTGGTCCGGTGGGAACATGGTGGACCGCTGATTCCCGAATATCACGAGAGTCTTGCGACCTCGCCAACGATTGTTCGGATGTAAAACCGTTGCGATCAGCACCATTGGTGTGGGCCTTGGCTTGTCGCTCTGCCTCAACCTCTTGAGCCCGTTTCTCCAACGCTAGCTTCTCTCGTTGAGCTTTAGATATAAATTTAGGCTGCAGCAATGATTGTCAGTAAATGCCACGGAATCCTGTGTCATATTGCATCATTCCAGGAGGACAAGCTTACCTTCGCTGTTGCCGCATCTGCTTCTTTCTTCTTGCGTATCAATTCCTCTACACTCAACGGAGTGACAGTCGGTCTCTTTGCACCCCATCCCAGTTTCTGCTTCTTCTGAGTCTCAGCGGGGGGCGGGGGTGGTACATCATCGGGAGGAGGTGGAGGGGCGATACTGTCTGGCGGCGGTGGAGGTGCGGCCGAATCTTCTGGAGGAGGTGGAGGCGGGCTGGGCGGGCGCTCGATCGGATCTGGGGGAGGGAACGGGGGAAACCCTCAGAGCCGTTGGCCATGACTTGTGTCTGTGAGAGAAATGAGGGCTAATGAAACCACCAGACTAGACACGAGATGGGAGTGATATTGAATTTCTACGGAGCATGATAAGGGCCAGACGCGTAGTCACGTGGTACAAGACACGTGATCATATTTATCCACTATCTACATGTGATCTCCGTCCGGGTTCCAGTTGAGGATGGGTACGGAGTACCCACATGTGATTTGTTACGCTACCCATCCCCAGCTCCTGTATGTACCTGGCAGTGGGTAGCGTAACCAGTTTATTATATAATAATTGCTATTTAACTACTCCGTATGTTGTACAAAATCATCTTTATCACTTTTATTGACCTCCCTTTTCAGTCCTTCGGCCTATCTATTCTTCCACTACTCCGTATAGTACACATAATATATAGTACTTGTAGAGAAATCAATTAATCACCTTTATACTATACCTTTCAGGATATATTTTTTGATCTATGAAGAGAAGAGATTATTTTAATAATGACTATCATAAGGTAAATATTATAAATATCAGATAAAGTAGGAAGGGTGGTAGTAATATATAGTTAAGTAGGTAGATATGCATAGATATATATATATCATTTTGTTACACAAATATCAATGAAATTAATCAGAAATTTCTAGAATAGCTACTTCTACTCTAGATCAATATTGACTAGAAGATAGAAATTCAATCGCTTCCAAGAAATACGTAGAAAAGGTATATCATCAACGTGATGAATTGATTTCTTTATAGGTAGCGTAACAAATCACATGTGGGTACCCATTGCCAGATATAAGAGCTGGGGATGGGTACCGTAACCGAATCGTATGTCAGTAGGTACTACTCCTACTTTGTACCCATGCTCAGTATTATATAAACCCATCCTCAACTGGGTGCCGCTCCAGGGCTGGAGCTGGAGGGGTACCATAGCTCTACGGGTATACCCGTGGGCACTACCCTATGCCCCCACGGGCGGTAGGCGTCGTAGGCGCCTGTTAACAATTTCTGTACTTAAATGATAGTATCTATAGATCCATGGATATCCTAAATGGAAGCTTTCTTCAACTAGTCCATAGAAACCTAGAAGAAATTATCACCAGCTATCCGAAAGCGACCGCCGGGTTAGAGGCGTATACGGGTGATATTTTGCTCAGCGTAGCAAGCACCTTGGCGAACTGTTGCTCTTACTAAGTAGGATGTTAGGCGCTGCGAGGCCCCGGCTCTTGACCCTTGTGAAGACCTAGCCTCTTCCACACTTCGGATCCACATTCTTAATATCAACCCACCATGTCTTTCCAGATGTACGATGGTCTTGTCACAGTCAATGTAGACAAAACTCCTCTAGCCCTAAACGAGGTGACCCGCACTCTCTACAATTGAGCCATCACCAATCCTTCGTCTTTGACTGATGTAGAGCGAAAATATATCACCCGCCGCCCACCCAAACAAGAAGATGATCTCTGCCGGAATAGGTATGGGTTGAGCTTTTCCGATCTAGTTTCAAAAGCTACTCGAAACCGGAACTCCCTCAAATACCAAGAGGCTCACAGAGTGGTAGCCGGCGTCGTCCATGGCCAAGCCGGAAGACTGTTGAATGAGCGGGTGCAACTCAGCGAAGCTGATCGAGATCTCACCCACGAAGCCTCTGATGTCGTTACAACACGAGAGTTGAAAGACACCCACGCGAATGCCGGAGCTGTGAAGCAAAAATTGAGCGACGCCAGCGTCACAGCCTCTACTATTCTTAATGACGACGATCAACGGAATATTCGATATGCTATGCATGTGTCGTGGCAGGAGCATGTCCTAAGTCTCGCCGAAGCAGCAGTCTGCGGCCTAGTCATATTAATTCCAGATGTGCCGAAGTGACCCTTGTATAAGAAGCAGATCCAAACTGCCGTTCAACGCGGCTTACATTGTTTTGAGACCTTAGTAAATGAGGGCGCTATTGCAAAATTTGGTCTTCATTGGGTAGAGGATGATGGGACCTGAGATGACACCGGTGATCTCCGGGATCGATTCGCCTCTATGCGAGACAGCAACGAATTCCCTGTTGGTCTACGACGGGACTCCTTTCTCCGTGTGGATCAAGATGCCTTGCAATCGTGTGACGCTCCTAGACCATTCGTCTGGTTATTAGAACCTGACAATGAAAACAATGCAAAGCCACTTAAGGTGCACATCAACCACATCGCTCCGGCACTTTTTGCGCGTCTCATCCAACGAGATCTTTCTTCAGAGGCAAATAGTCGGCCGTATCGAAGCAAATCAGATTGAAGATGCTCCATAAAGCAGCACGGTGGTCGAAGGATGGGATTTGGCCTCCGCCTGTGCGCTTCATGTAAATCTCCGACTAGAAGAGCATTTTGCCTATCCTTATCACACTGAAGAATCTAGTTGCCGGGTACAAGTCTAACAAGGCTACCCAAGATCAGAGACGAATCATTTTGAATCATTTTGAATTAATTTTCAGTGGAAAGACAAGCCACCTTAGAATACAATTGGTCCCAAAGGATCCAATCTCGAATTGATCATAATAAACCTGTCTCGAGCCCTAAGAAGGGTCTGGACACCAGCACATCTGACAAGTGTGAGAAGAAGCTGTCTTTAAGCTGGGTCAAAATCGCTAGAAGGGAATGTTGCACAGCACGGGCAACGGGGATGATACTACATGAAAAAGGAACTCACCCACCCAGGGAAATCAATATGCCAGGGTAAGTAACGAAGACAAAAACACCGAAAGGTAAGGTACCAGCAGAGCTTCCAGAATCGAACCCATTCGTTAACAAACGTACCCATACTTGGAGTCGTCGGCTTTGAGAGACGTGCGCATGACTCTTGGGTTTCAAGCTGTCGTGCCATTCGCTGCGGTCTGTTGGTAGTAAGCATATGCTTGTGCAGCCGCAGCATCATCCTGTGTGGGCTGAATGTGAGGAATTGAAGCAAACTGGGCGTCGGCAGGGGTGGGGTGCACCGCCACAGTCCCGCCAGTTCGAGCAGAAGCCACAGATGAAGGGCCATAGATTTCTCGATCTAGGGTCATGTATTCCTTCGCAGTATCTTTGGTGCCCCGTTCGAGAAGGTATGTCATGTAAATTTGGACAAGTTCCTTGACGGCGTCGACTTGCAGAACACTCTTGGACCGGATGTCAGCAATGACCTGCTTGATACGTTCGTACTGAACCGGCTCAGTAGCGGCGCTGGTGGGTTGCTCAATTTCGAAGACGAGATAGCTGCCCCAGAAGGGCCGACTGTCGAGGTAGTAATGCTGGTTCTCGTGGAAAACTTTGCGAGCCTCATCAGGACTGCCCTTAATCTTCCACAAAAGGCGGGCCCATTCGGCAACAAGAGCAGCCTTTGTAGCCATCTCGCACTCTGGCGAATCCAATTGTGTCTTGTAGACTTCAATGGCAGCCTCAAGGCCTCCGTGACGACGACACAGATTGGCGAGTGAGATAATGGTTTCGACGTGGCTAGGGAGATACATGAGAATAGCACTATGGATATCCTTCGCCACATCCACGCGGTTCGACACCTCTTCGAAGTAGGCGTAGCGGAGTCGGACAGTGGGGCTTGCAATGGGGACGTAGAGATACGAGGCACGCTGGTAGATAATGCGCACCTCTTCTTCCTTGTCAGGCTGAGCAGCCATCCAGCGAGCATATCGAAGCCAGAATTCATCGTAGTGGGCACAAGTGACCAGGCACCGCTCGTACAAGAACTGAGCGCGGGCGAACGAACCCTCAGCTTCCTCGAAGTCAAGATACTTCTTCCAGTTGGTCAACTGGCCTTCATCGAGCTCAGTGACATGGAAATAAGGACGTTTGATCTCCGATTCAAACGTCCAACGCTTAGTTGTTTCTGTCTGAGTGTTCGTGAAAATCTCGAGGTGGTAGCTATCCACGCGAAGTCGGAGATCCCGCTCGATCTCGGCTTCAGCCTTGGCTCCAGGAGCCGGCTGGGACGATGCAGCTTCGATCTCAGCGCGGAATGAGGCCATGATATCTGCTGGGGCAAGCTCGGACAACGGGCGTGTCTGCGCACTCTGACGGTACCGTTCGAAGTAGCGGGCATACTGGTGCATGGGGATATGGATAACACGCCCAAGAATTGCGAAAATCTTATCGTGGGCCTCAACCCGCTCCTCGAATTCAATGTACTTATCCCAGAAGGGATGGGAGAGGAAGTCAAGACCAACGCTGCTTGCACCCCGTTCGAAAAGCCTGGAGGTGTTTAAGTTAGCAAGTTGCGGACACATGGACTTGGTGGCTGGGACAGGAGTGTTAGGAAACAGGACAGGGGTAATGAAGATGGAAAACACGAGTAGTCAACTCTGTCCGTTTGTGAAGACCCAAGTAATCAATGAGTGCGGTGGATGAAGCTAAGGGATAGGTGGGTATCTAATGCTCCGTAAAGAGCCATCGAGCAGTATTATTTCTTGACCTCCAATGCAAGAAAGTGATGATTCGGCCAATCAAAGCAGAAATGCAGCCTGAGTGAGCTATGGGTGAGAAGTAGACTCCACTTAGGTCAAGGAAGTAAAGCGGCGAGCGGGCTCTCACCCATCAACAATGAGACTGGCTGTATATCGAAATATCCAAGAAACATATGTGACCGGCATCACGAGAACTTTCGTGGGCTGCGTCGGTAATGGTTATAGGGAAAGGGAAGAGGTCCGTTTCTACTCTCACTTACTCTCGAATGATGTCGGCATCGTGCGAAGTCTCCGCCTTGAACGAACAATAGTTGGTCCAAAGGTCAACAGATGGCGAGATGCTAGCAATGCCTCGTTCATAGACCTAGAGCGACAAAATTAGTACGAAGCCATGAAAAGGAAGAGGCTGGTGCCCAAGGAGTGTGTCTGCATACCATCTCAGCGGCCTCAGTGCCAGTGATGGAGAACTCTTGGTCGGCATACTTCTTCCAGTATCCAAAGAGCAAAGGGAACTTGGCGAGGAAGCGATCATAGACTGCGCGGACGGTTGTGATTGCCTGGGGGCTGGAGTTGCGATTGATTCCACCCTCTAGGCCCTCGGCAGCGCGAACCAGCTTTTCCCATGTTTCGAAGTTGTCGGGATCATCAAGCTATAAGACATAGACACGTCAGTTATCGAGAGACACGCTCATGAATACAGATAGAACACGTACCAACTCGGTCTCGAGAGTTCTAATCTCCGCATTCTCCTCTTCGGAGCCTCCATACTGATAGTCGGCCATGGTCGCAGTGCTGAGAATGCGCGCGCGAAGTTGAGACCCCAGAGTAAGACAATAGGTATGAAATTGCAGATATCAATAAAATAGCAGCGACGGTAACAATGAATCTTGTGAAGGTAGGAAATTCTTGGGGCTGAAACGAGACTGAAAAGCCGAAGATAGGAAGTCTGATGCCTGAGGCGAGCATCTTTGGTTATGCAGCCCACTGCCGGGGCTGGGGGGCGGTGTGGTTTGAGGCGGTGTGGTTCGGGGCGGTGGGAGCAATGACTAAGCTTGGCTTGGACGGGTCCACGGGTACCTGCCTAGGTAGCTAAGGTTTGGAGGCCTTCTGGGGGTTTGCCGCGGCAGAATTATGTACACCTTAGGAATAAGGCTCCATAGTCCCACGGCCTTGGCATGACTCCCAGGCGGTATCAACTTTTTGACCAGAACATTCACAAGCAATCTTGGAACCACCTGTGCACACTAGGATCCAACACCATCCAAGATCCATCATGTCGGCTTTAAATCAGTCAGGCAAACTGCTGGAGAATCTTCCACAACGTCTGGTAAATTTCTTCGCTCGGTATCCTCCACAATCCCACTCCGCAGCTGTCCGCCGCCCTGCCCCTGCCAACGGTGAGGGCTATGTACCGATGAAGGTAGATTCACCATACACCCCCGACCGCGATGCCAAGGGTGCACCAGGGGAGAAAAAGCATGGCTGGACTCCTTCGCGCTCACTCCTCGTGACTAGTGATGCACTCCGCAATCCATTTCTTCCGCATAAGCGATACGGCAAATGGGAGGCACCGAAATACGGGTTGCGGCAGCAAGCCGATTTGATGAAGCTGGCCATCAAATACAATGTGCATGCACTTCTTCCTCCCAGTCGCAAATCACCTGAATTCAAGGAGACACGGCGCGCAGAGCGTGGCTTGCAGGTCAAGGGAACTGGTGTTGGCCACAAGGTCAAGGGTCACAAGTGGGAGCGCACCATGGAATCACGTCTCGAGGATCGCCGCAAGGCAATGGAGGGTATGCCCGAGATGGTCCGTATGTGGAAGCAGGTTAGTAATCGATTGGTCCTTCCCTTTGAAGTGATGGGAATAATGCTGACTCGGCGCACCAGAGAGGTCACGGCCGTGGCTGGAAGCAATGGCCCAAGCGGTAATCAGGGTGCCATACCGCTACATATCACAGCATCGCCTTTCACTTCCTTATTTTGGCCAATTTGTTCATTCCGGCTTTTCAGTGCTCTGTTGATCCCTACGCGCACCGGGATAGGTATCACTGTTTGTACGAGCCATAGCAGGAGCTTAGGACGGAGTTTTGTCTTTGAAGTATACTATCAACCCATCTGTACAATACAACTACGGTCACATCGCCCAATGGCACCCAAGAAAATCATTTACACACATCCAGCCGGTTTATCATGGATTATTCTCAACACCAATCAGAAGCTACCCTGCTCTCGGCAAAACATGTTCAATCTCGCGAGCCTTTATCGTGCAGAAAAAGCAGGTTGAAAGAGGGGAACACTCAAAAAAAGAACCTTCAGACAGCCAATGACAGTAGTCGCAAATAACGAAGGGCCTAAGCACCCCACGGAGATCATCGTGCTGATCAATTAGACCTAGAAACAATTTGGAATACTCTGGTTATCCTGTTTCAGA